GGTAGGGATCATTACTAAAGGACATGTGACCATCTTTGGAACACCATTCAAATGTCTTACAGCTGCTGAGCTTCTCATCACTGTATTGTGCTTGAAGTCCTCTGTAGATATCTGTGCGTTTTACTCTTTAGTTCACAAGAAGCCTCATCACCACACACTGTTCTATGCACACACTGACACTGTTGTCTGCCATCCCAATTAACAGTCTCTGGACTGGCCCTCGACATGTGTGCTGCTTGTCAATAATAGGACACACTTGCCACTTACAACTACTTGTAGTAACACCACACTAGCATCCCTTTTTATACCTGGAAAATTAAAAGTCCCAGTTAGACTTGAACGACCCTCATAGAAGTGAAAGTAAAACATTTGTGTATAGATATAAATACATTTGAAATAACTTTTTTTTCCCCCCCCTTTTTTTATAAGTGATTACATACCCTCTGTTCTCAGCTGCGTAGAGAGGTGAGAGTGGAGAAACAGCATCACACTGACCTTCACAGTGAATAGCTGTGCGGGGGAAGGGGGTGTTGTCAGGACAAGTCTAATCATTGGAGGAGAACAGACTGAGCTCCCAGCACAGCTAGAGAACTGACCACATATGCATATGTCTCAACTGTACAGACTAACAAACGAGAAAGAAGAGATTATTTAATTATCTGTAAACAATACAGGACCGTAGATAATTTTTTTTTCTGGGGGGGGGGGGGGGTTCAGCCTTGGGTACCCAGAGGAGAATAGTTAGACAGCATGCTTTCCATGTTGTGACTAATTGTGGGTGTGGCAAAGTTGCGCCTAGGGGCTGAGTGTGAGGGGCTTAAAACTTGACCCTACTCACTGTGTACATGGTAATTTATTTCACAGTCTGTGTACCCAAAAAATGTGCCTTAATTATTGTGCTACAAGCAAGTGCTAGACATATACAACACCTCAGCACATTGATTTGTAAGATATGAAACTCATCAAAACCATTATATACTGTGTGTTTTTTCTGCACATTGCCTACATTGAAAATTAACTTCACTAAAAGTGATTACTGAGCAACTAGCATCTGTTGTACAATATAGCATAAATAGTGCAAGGGTCAGGAGTATTCTATATACAGCCTAGCATATGCAGTCCCCTTTAGGCAGAACTCTACTGACCACAGAAAATCCCTGTGTCAGCAAACATGTATGAAACAAAAAATGGTGGCCGGAGGACTCTCACCACACCGATGCCATATATGAATTCCTGATGGTGATCAATTGTACATACCCTGACGTCAGCCGACAGCAGATTTTAGCCCACTATCAGCTGAAAACAGATCACAGGAGTGCAAGATGAACTGCACTCTCATGACCTAAAGGAGAAGTGTAGCCCAAATAGCTGTGGTGCTACTTCTCCTTTAAGGAATTTTTGTATAATAAAAGAATCTACTGGAGTGCAGCTTCCCAGCCTAATAAAAGTCATTGTAATGCCACTCATATTCCTGTCCTTTTAACAGGGTGACAGTAAGCTTACACCTACCCCCCGGTCACACTGATCCTGACTTTAAAATCGTGTGATTTACAGTGAAGTCACACAATTTCAAAGTGGATGACATGCCGATTTGAGGTGCGATTTGCAAGACATCTGACACAGATGACTATGCAAATCTCACCAAAAGTAGTGCATGCACTACTTTAGAAATTGGTGCGGCTCCTACCAAGTCGGAACCGCATCAATATGACAGCTGTAATTTCGGACAATATCCAGTGTGACCAGAGACTTATGCTGTACAAGTGTCAGCTTACTGTCGCCCTGTTAAAAGGACAGGAATTTGAGTGGTATTACAATGACTGTTATTAAAAGTAGACACAGGCTATACAGTGTACAGGCACATATTGCAGCTCCCCGTTTCTCCTTCTCTTCTTCTGTGGCAAAGTACTTTCTTGTTGTCTTATCTCTCACCTCAATCTCAGGAGCTTCACTGCATGCATTTAAACAGCTTGTGTGCAAGCTTCTCTGGGTATAGGAAAAAGACAAGAATCCCATGGGATGATTTCATTGGAGTGATGGACAGAGTACTATGTGTGCCCATTGGCTGAGGAGGCAGAAGGGGGCGGTGCCACTGCCTTCTCAGCCAATAGGCACACAAAGTACATTGTACAATGGCTGAGGATTCAGTGGCACTGCCTCTTACTACCTCCTCAGCCAATAGGTAATGAAGCTGCCTCATAAGTCTTCACCCAGGATTTCCTGAGATTCAGCTTTAATTTACTATATGGACAGGCTTGTGGGCAAGCGAGCGGGGAGGGGGAATACATATATTATATGTGGGATGATGCTGTGTGTTAAAGGAGGAGGACAGCAACCCTTATGTACAGCCTCCCTGCTGGGCCACACTGCCTATCAGCAACTTGAAGAGAATGGCAAGTTTGCAATAGCTTAGCAGCTGTGACACTGATGGAAGTTCTGGAAGGGGTCTCGACCCCCCTGACTCCCCCCTTATGTACCCCCCTGGAACAATAAAATGTCTTGTGTCTCCTCTCAGCAGGACATGAACCACTTTCAGTTTTCTTGATGAATTAAACGACAGATATCCAGAGGTGGATAGAGGAGGAAACCAAAGGAAAAAGAATAAGGAGATAATTATATAATTTGTAAACATTGAAACTTGATGCTGCCCACTTTAACCTTGCTACCTTAGGTACTGGCCATGAATGCCATAATGGTAAATATACAACTCTGCACATGATGTTTCTGACCTACTTAGAATAAATAAATATATATATATATATATATGTATATATATAAAAATATATATTGGCAGTTCTGGGCACTGTCACTGTGAGAATCAAGGCTATATCCCAGGATTCTCAACGAAACAGGTTGAAGGGCTCTAGAGGGTTTATTTAATGCAGAGGAAACAGACTTTTCAGTTTCCTTATTTGTTCGTAAAGTTATTTTTGAGATCTGGAGCCTGGAGATTTCAAAGTGATCTGGGAGGGATGAAATATCCAATCCTGGGTCCATGTTCCCTTAACCCTCAGCACACTGATTGTACAGGTGTGTGCAGGGCTTTAAATAATAACCTGACTAGGCTTCTGGGCTCCACCCCGGCAGACAGGAGGTCATTGCCCAGGAGTCAGGAGGACTCCACCTAGGTGGGAGCCAGAGCAGCAAGGGGCTGTATACCCCAGAGAGCCAGGAGGCTGAATATTTGTTTCATTTGTATTGATGGTGGATACCCCTGCATGGAAAATGTATTGTATGGAACTTTCCTTTAAATAAAATTAGGCGAAAAGGCCCTTAAAAAAAAGAAGAAAGCGAGTGGCTGTGTGCTGTAAAAGCTCTACCCTTCATTTCAAGTTCTCACTATATATATATATATATATATATATATATATATATGATTTTGTAAATGAAAAGGTATGAAGGTTGTATAACAGGAACTTCCAGATAGGTGTACATCACCCAAACCTTCCATCCCGGCCCCAGGACATCCAAACACCAGGATGCTCTAATGCAACTTAGAACCAAACTTACAGTTAGGTCCATATATATTTGGACACAGGCACAATTTTAGTTTTTTTCAGGTATTTAACAAAACATATTCAGGATATAGTTATATAATGGATATGGGCTGAAAGTGCACACTCTCAGGTTTAATTTGAGGGTATGTACATCCAAATTGGAGGAAAGGCTTAGGAATTACATCACTTAAGAATATCCATCCCTCCTTTTTCAAGGGATCAAAAGTAATTGGACAATTGAATCAAAAGCGGTTTCATGGTCAGGTGTCAGGAATGGACTTGCCAGTAATGGTGGGACTCACCTGCCTTGTGGGCTGCAGTACCAGGGCTGGCCAGCGGGTGCTCCCAGCAATCAGAGACTCAACCCTGCAGCCAGCCAAACACCTGAAGCTGATTATGCAGGTGTATTTAAGGGATGGCCAGACCTGCAGTCTGGGCCTTGGTGTGTGTGTTTTCCTGGGCCCCTGTATCTTGTTACCTACATCCCTGTTCCTGTTCCTGTCCCTGTCCCTGTTCCTGTCTGACTGATTTGTTGCTGACCCTGCCTGATCCGGACCTCTGCTGACTTCTCCTGTTTGATCCCTGGCTTGTGACCCCGACCATTCTCTGCCTGACCCCCTGTACCTACCTGCCCGTTAGTTGCTGTACCCGGCTCGTGACCTGACTACTCTCTGCCTGCTCCTCCTGTTCCTACTTGCCTGATTGTTATTGACCCGGCCTGCCTGACGACGCTTGCATTGTATGTATTGTTATCTGTGGGTGGTTTGGTTTGGTTCGTTTGCACTGTGTTGTGTTTTAGTATTGCACTGCGTTTATGTATTGTTAGTGTTAATAAATTATATTGTTTATAGCATATCTGAAGCCTGCGTTTCCCTGCGTCAGTTCACATACCTCTGGTCATACCCTGGAGCCCTGACATTACACCAAGGCCAATCCTGACCAGAAGTGGCTGCACAGGGAAGCCATCTTGGCTTTTGTTGCTGTAGGATGGATCTTGATGAGGTTGTGTATTTATCTCTGCTAGTGTTTGATGACAGGGATTATGCTTATCAGACTCTGAAGGAGTATCCCCGGGATCAATTGCTAGAGTGTATAAGGATCGCTCATTGCCTAGTAGATCAGGGCACAGAATTCTCTGAGGTGCAGCCATTGATTCAGGTTTGTGCTGAGTTGGTTTCATCTGGTACCCCCGAATGCAGGGATGAATTTTTGCCGCCATTTAGTGCCGACCAGGTAGAGTCCCTGGTATGGTTATTAGAGGATGATGTGGATTAATTTCTGGAGCGTTATTCTGCATGTTCACCACAGGTACTAAGAGATTGTATAAACGCAGTGCAGTCTTTGACCAGACAGGCTTTGTGTAAGCTGAGCTTTGTTCAACCCATACTGCAGACATGGTCAGACTTGTTGCACCCAGCCTCAGTCAGCTTACAACATCATTCCTCCGCTCAAGGCACTCTTCCTGCATCCCCGACAGCACCCCCAGTGACTGCCCAGTATACTCTAACTACCACATATCAGTCCTCTGTTCTCACTCGCTGCACCTATCCTTTCTGTAACCCTGTAAAGAAGTCCTCTGTAGCAACTGCTCCCTCCTCTGTTCCATCCTCCCGTTTTCCTCTGTCCCCAGCTGCTCCATTCGTTTGCAGACCTGCGTTTACTTGCAGTGCTCCAGTAGTTAAAACCAGAAAAAAGCAAAAATTCTCTCCAACCAGTACCATCCTGCCAGTATCCAAACCAGTGAGCCTGCCGTCTGAGAACCTGCCACCCGCACTTCAGCCTGATGTTTTTTACCCAGCCTGATGCCTCTACCCAGCCTGATGCCTCCATTCAGCCTGATGCCTCCATTCAGCCTGATGTCTCTACCCAGCCTGATGAACTGATCCAGCCTGATGATCCTATTATGCCAGTTGACTCGATGCCTGCTGTCGATCCAGATGATCCGGTACCTGATGACCCGGTGCCCGCTGTTGTGCCAATTGACTCAGAGCCCACTGTCGTGCCTGATGACTTGGGGCCCACTGCCTTGCCAGATGACATGGTGCCCGCTGGTGAGCCAAATGACCTGATGCCTGGTGACCCAGTGCCCGCTGTCATACCTGGTGACCCGATGCCCGCTGTCGAGCCAGACAATCCCATGCCTGATGACCCAGTGCCCGCTGTCATGCCTGGTGACCCGATGTCCACTGTCGATCCAGACGATCCAACGCCAGATGACCCGGTGCCCGCTGTCGATCCAGACGATTCGGTACCTGATGACCCGGTGCCCGCTGTCGTGCCAATTGACTCAGAGCCCACTGTCGTGCCTGGTGACTCGATGCCCACTGCCTTGCCAGATGACGCGGTGCCCGCTGTCGAGCCAAATGACCTGATGCCTGGTGACCCGATGCCCGCTGTCGAGCCAAATGACCTGATGCCTGGTGACCTGATGCCCGCTGTCGAGGCAGACGATCCAATGTCTGACCCAGTGCCCGTGGTCATGCCAGTTGACTCGGAACCCACTGTCGTGCCTGGTGACTCGGTGCCCACTGCCTTGCCAGATGACGCGGTGCCCGCTGGCGAGCCAAATGACCTGATGCCTGGTGACCCGATGCCCATTGTCGTGCCTGATGACCCGGTGCCCGCCGCTCCGCCTGGGGGCCCGGTGCCTGCCGTCCCTCCTGTAGGCCCGGTGCCCGCCGCTCCGCCTGAGGGCCCGGCGCCCGTCGCCCCGCCTGGGGGCCCGCCGCCCGTTGTCCCGCCTGGGGGCCCGGCGCCCGTTGCCCCTCCCTGGGGGCCCGGCGCTCGCCGCTCCGCCTGGGGGACCGGCGCCCGCCGCCCCGCCTGGGGTCCCGATGCCTGTCGCTCCACCCGGGGGCCCGGTGCCTGCCACCCCTCCCGGGGACCCGGCGCCCGCCGCTCCGCCTGGGGGCCCGGCACCCACCGCCCCGCCTGGGGGCCCAATGCCTGTCGCCCCTCCTGGGGGCCCGGCGCCTGCCGCCCTGCCTGGTGGCCCGATGCCTGCCGCCCCGCCTGGTGGCCCGATGCCTGCCGCTTCGCCTGGTGATCCGATGTGCCTCTGCCGGAGTCCAGCTCGATGTGCCTCTGCCCGGAGTCCTGCCCGATGTGCCGCTGCCCGGAGTCCACCCCGACGTGCCGCTGCCCGGAGTCCAGCCCAACGTGCCGCTGCCCGGAGTCCAGCCCGACGTGCCTCTGCCCGGAGTCCAGCCCGACGTGCCGCTGCCCAGAGTCCGGCCCGATGTTGCGCTGCCCAGAGTCCAGCCCGATGTTGCGCTGCCCGGAGTCCAGCCCGATGTGCCGCTGCCCGGAGTCCTGCCCGATGTGCCGCTGCCCGGAGTCCTGCCCGATGTGCCGCTGCCCGGAGTCCTGCCCGATGTGCCAGTCTTTGATATCCCGCCAGTTACCAGACCTGGGCGGTGGAACATTTTGCCCAGCTAGGACTGTTTGGAGCGTCCTGAGGCCGCTCCTTGAGGGGGGGTACTGTCAGGAATGGACTTGCCAGTTATGGTGGGACTCACCTGCCTTGTGGGCTGCAGTACCAGGGCTAGCCAGCGGGTGCTCCCAGCAATCAGAGACTCAACCCTGCAGCCAGCCAAACACCTGAAGCTGATTATGCAGGTGTATTTAAGGGATGGCCAGACCTGCAGTCTGGGCCTTGGTGTGTGTTTTCCTGGGCCCCTGTATCTTGTTACCTGCATCCCTGTTCCTGTTCCTGTCCCTGTTCCTGTCTGACTGATTCGTTGCTGGCCCTGCCTGATCCGGACCTCTGCTGACTTCTCCTGTTTGATCCCTGGCTTGTGACCCCGACCATTCTCTGCCTGACCCCCTGTACCTACCTGCCCATTAGTTGCTGTACCCGGCTCGTGACCTGACTACTCTCTGCCTGCTCCTCCTGTTCCTACCTGCCTGATTGTTATTGACCTGGCCTGCCTGACGACGCTTGCATTGTATGTATTGTTATCTGTGGGTGGTTTGGTTTGGTTCGTTTCAACTGTGTTATGTTTTAGTATTGCACTGCGTTTATGTATTGTTAGTGTTAATAAATTATATTGTTTATAACATATCTGAAGCCTGCGTTTCCCTGCGTCAGTTCACATACCTCTGGTCATACCCTGGAGCCCTGACATCAGGTGTGGGCTACTTCTTCATTATTTCTCCTTCAAATAAGCAGGTAAAAGGTCTGGAGTTGATTCCAAGTGTAGTATTTGCATTTGGAATCTATTGCTGTGAACCTACATCATGCGTACAAAGGAGCTGTCCATGCAAGTGAAACAGGCCATTGTAAGGCTTCCAAAACTAAACAAATTCATCAGAGAGATAGCAGGAACATTAGGAGTGGCCAAATCAACAGTCTGGTACATTCTGAGGAAAGAGGAATGCACTGGGGAGCTCAGCAACATAAAAAGGCATGAACATCCACGGAAGGCAATAGTGTTGGATGATCGCAGAATCCTTTCTATGGTAAAGAAAAACCCATTCACAACATCAAGACAAGTGAAGGACACTCTCTAGGAGGTGGGCGTATCATTGTCAAAGTCTACAATCAAGAGAAGACTTCACAAGAGCGAATACAGAGGGTTCACCACAAGAAGCAAACCATTCATAAACCCGAAGAATAGAAAAGCCAGATTAGACTTTGCCAAAAAAAAATCTAATAAAGCCAGACCAGTTCTGGAAAAGCATTCTTTGGATGGATGAAACTAAGAATAATCTGTACCAGAATGACGGGAAGAAAAAAGTGTGGAGAAGGCTTGGAACAGCTCATGATCCAAAGCACACAATGTCATCTGTAAAACATGGTGGAGGCAGTGTGATGGCATGGGCTTGCTTGCATGGCCCAGTGGCATTGGGTCATTGGTGTTTATTGATGATGTGACAGAAGACAGAAGCAACCAGATGAATTCTGCACTGTTTACAGATATACTGTCAGCCCAGATTCAGCCAAATGCAGCAAAGTTGATTGGACGGCGCTTCACAGTACAGATGTACAATGATTCAAAACATACTGCAAAAGCAACCCAGGAGCTTTTGAAGGAAAAGAAGCGGAATATTCTGCAATGGCCGAGTCAATCACCTGATCTCAACCCAATTGAGCATGCATTTCACTTTCTGAAGGCAAAACTAAAGGCAGAAAAACCCACAAACAAAGAGCAACTGAAGACAGCTGCAGTTAGAGCCTGGAAAGCATCAGAAAGGAGGAAACCCAGTCTCCGGTAATGTCCATGGGTTCCAGACTTCAGGCAGTCATTGCCAGTAAAGGATTCTCAACAAAAGATTAAAAATTAACATTTTATTTATGATTATATTCATTTGTCCAATTACTTTTGGTCCCTTGAAAAAGGGGGGACGGCTACTCTTAAGAGCTGTAATTCCTAAACCCTTCCTCCAATTGGATGTACATACCCTCAAATTAAACCTGAGAGTGTGCACTTTCAGCCCATATCCATTATATAACTATAGCTTGAATACGTTTTGGTAAATACCTGAAAAAAACTAAAATTTTGCCTGTGTCCAAATATATATGGACCTAACTGTATATAGTCAGTTCTATTCTCTCTTGCACCTTGCTATTGGTAATTGAGGCTGTCCTTCACAATGATGAGTCATAAATACTGCACAGGTGGAGATAGGGGTGGGCCAGAGCCAGCAACCAAAACTATTTTAATGTAAAACTCGCTTTAAACCAAACAAAAACAGGTAGCTGACACTGATGTAGGGGTTTTAGTTGGAGTCTGAAAACAGCCCTGTAAACTGCTGCTGTAATTGGAACTTACAGGGTCATATGCAGGAGGCTCCAGAAGGATGATGTTCTCTTTTTTATAGCATAATAGGTAATGTGACATATGCAAGGCGAAGTAACAGCAATTCTGCTCTAATTAGATCTCAGCAGAGCAAATTATGGAATGAGGCTTACAAGATGAAAGCTTGTACAGCTATTTGCTACATTAAATCCACTCCAGCTGCTGTGCAGGTTAGGATACAAGTTAATCAATGAGCAATTCATATCTAGATTATTCTGTTTTGTGCAAGTAAGCCAAATTAAGTAAACCATTTTATATAGTACATTATAGTAGTAATGATAATAGCACAGCTTGAACCTGCCTGAGTGGGATAAAATCAAATGCGTCTTGCCATTTGTGTGTGTGTACAATCTAGGGTCCCTAACTCACATTCATAAAAATACATACTAGGACCAATTTAGACAGAAGCCAAATAATCTACCAGCATGTCTTTGGAGTGTGGGAGGAAACCCACACAGGTACATGGAGAAAATGCAAACTCCAGGCAGGTGGTGCCGTGGTTGGGATTTGAACCAACAACCCTAGTACTGCTGGGTGAAAGTGCTAGCCACTTAGCCGCTGTACTTTCAAGCTGCTGAAAATGTTCTTAGTCTGAAAAAAGAAAACTAGTGCAGCTACCAAATCTAAGAATTGGCAAGCTGCACTATATAATGTTTTTGGGTTTAAATATCATTTAAAAAAATTGTAAAACAGTACTTACCCTCTCAATGCTCCAGCGCTGCCCCCTCTTCCAGCACCTCTCCTCTTCAAGGTTGAATGACAATCGGCATCTTTCAATATGCTTCCATGTTATTAACCAGCCATAGACTCACAGGAGCATGCTGTGGCACCATGCCCAATGCCAGAAGAAAAAAAAGAAGTAAGAGAATCTGTGACTTTAGAAAACGTAAAGAAAAAAAGGTTTGTATAAAGAAGATTTTTTTTTCTGCTTTGGCAGAAGAATTTTGGTGGGTGGATTAAAATGAAACTGGGCTTTAAAAAATTAGCTGCAAATGTGCTTTAATTAGAGAGATTTAAAGACATACCCAGTTACAGTACGATTTAGTATTTCATAATTTGGTAAGTTAGAAAAAAAAAAAAAGAACGCATCTACTGAGGTTGGAATGTCTTGGCTCTTTCGCGATAAAACTTCAAAAAAGTATTAAAACACAAATAAGTTAAAAATAAAAGTACATAGATATTTTACTGATAGGCAATGATACTTGTGGTCAGTGAGCCTTATTTCAGCAACAGGTAGCATTTTTGCACTTGATCATCATATATTGTATTTGTATGAAATATAACTGGAGAAAGCTGTACTATCCATATATATTTTTTATTCGATCAAACAACATCTAGAACTATATCACTAAGAAAAGAGATTGTTATGAATGCACACCTCACCCACATAGTTATTCATTTTAATTTCATAGCTGAAACATCACCGTTCAGGTCTCAAAAAAAAGAAAGAAAAACAAGGCTATGTGTTTTTTTTCTTTTCATTCTGGTATGCGCAGTACACAAAATAATAATTTCTCTTTTCAGAATTTAGCCTCCAGCTTCAAAGAGTTATTGTTTATTGTGGTGCTTCAATCAAGAGCAATATGAACAATTCCTCATTGTAGTTAAAGTTTTTTTTTTTCTAACAAATGTTTATTCCAATGTGTCTGGCAAATGAATTTGTTGCCAAAAATGCATCTCGGTTTTAATTCCCCAGGAGCCTGTATAGCTGAGGTATTAAACCCAAGTGAATTGGATTCAGGTATTTCTTATTACGATGTCATCTAAATAAGAAGTAGTACACACAGCTATACTACATTGTAATGCTGCTTTCTCA